TGATTGGTTTTTCTTCTAGTGTATATAATTGTATGTTAGAAATTGACTACTTCTAACATATCATAATTGATTACAAAGTAAACGATCATACCACATGTGATTAATGGACTTCTAGGATAAAAAGTGATAAGAATTAGGTAGACCAAGCTTAACTTTTCCCTTCCAATTATTATTTAATTAACAAACTCATAGGTGTATCATGCTTTTTTATCTTTTTATCATGCATGATCATTGAGGATAATAATTTAAAGAAATGACTATTATTTTGAGTGTGCCTTTTCACCATTTTAATTTGATTAATAAACTAATTTATTTTCTAATGTATCACTTAAATTTAAACAATTAAATTAAGACTTTCTTGGTAATTGAAAACAATCCTTGTGAGCCGCTATTTTAATTTAAAACCTTTATTACTTTTTAATGGGTAAATTTGCTCACAAACATCTCTTCTATCCTCAAGAGAAGTATTAGCAATTCATTAGTGTAATTGATCATTAGATGGAATTTGTTAGGAAAAGCTCCAAAGAAGATTTTAAGGTAATTTGACTTTTTTATTTCTTCAATATAATAATGTTGTCACTTTGCTAACAATTTGACATGTTTTTTGAAATACAATATAGAAAGAAAGTGAGACTAATACAAAAAGGGTAAAAGGAATGTCCTATAGGTAGATATAGGCAGTCAGTAAAGAGATATGCTTAATTGGTGTTAGAACTAGTATGTATTCATTTTTTTAATCATTTTGTTGGGTATTTATGTACTATAATTAAGTTTTTGAAAGTTGACTATGATTCAATTACTCCATCTATGTTCCTTCATCAAGTTCAAATGTCACCTTTGTATCCACGACATGTTCTATGGAAGGCTGCAAGGAATTGATAATGATTTCAGAAAGCAATCCATGATTTTATAAGTTTTAAGTTAACCTATATATGTATCACTAACCCCTTCAATTTACATTTTCTAACTATTTATGTTTATTTTATTTTATTTTTTAGAGACCCTTTATAGGGCACCCCTGACCATGAATCAGAATCAATAAGTAGACACGACATCTTGTCTCAAACACTTGGTGTACTTTAGCATCTTGGTCATGTTAAAGCTGCAGGATTTGGTGTCATCCAAAAATTTGCATTTGGGTCATCACTATGCACTCCACATCCATCATATACCGAGTGGTAGAATATGAAGCATTGGTAGCACATTTGACATAGATTGTGGCACAATTGACAAAGGGTTAGGGATTGCCACCATTCATGCCAAGTCACACATCATTCATATATATTGCCACTCCACCACCATTCATGCCTTCATTAGTGCAATTGCCTTTCACCATCCCTCCTCAAATGCTCTACATGGTGGAACTTAGTTCCCCATTGCCACCAGATACACCATGTAATAGCCAAAGAGGCAACTGCACACCAATAGGTTTTGTAAAGATTCTAGAGGTAGTAAAAAAATTATTTATATTTACTTATTTACACTGCTTCATACTTTGAATTCTTAATAAATATTATTACAATTTTATTTTCTAAGGTGACCATGATTGTATGATGTATTTGAACACCCTATATTAGCTCGTTGCAAGAGAAAAGGTATATCATACACTGGTTGGTGACACCTAACATACTAGGACTCTTCCTTCAAACTATGCTAAGGTCTTAATTGATGTAGTTCAATGACATAAAGAAGAGTCTGCATTGTTCTTACCTAACGATAAGGCAATATAAATTTCTTTATAATTTTAGATAACATGCATGATTTATAAATGTTAAATCTAAAAGCAATGATTTCAAATTCTACCATCATTAAGTAAAGGAAGAGGAAAAGAAACAGGTGACACTAACAAATCCATTGCTGGTCCAAGAAAATAGGGTCTTGTTTCTGATTCAAACTTTACAGAGTTTGCATAAGGCTAAGGTGTTGCATGTTCAACATGATGAAGCTTTTGGTGAGAAATGGTCAGGCTATTGATATTGCTTCCATTCATATGTTTGTTAATTATTGAGGAAAGAAGTATTATGACATGGTTATGAGAGAAAAGATCATAGAGATTATACGTCACCAATGGTTAATAAGGTTTCTTTATGTTGATGTTCTTATGCATTTTATTTGTTGATTTGTACAAGGTATGTTGTGTGAAGCTTACTTGCATGTCACTGATAAGACAAGTAGATTTTTCATTATATCTCTGTATAAGCTCGATGAGAATTTTAATCTCACTCCACATTAATTATAGCTGAAATGTTAAAGCGTCCTTCCTATAAGGAAAGATCACTTAGTTTTAGCACCTAATAATGTTGGGTGAGTTCTTCCTGTTGTTATGCATATTTGACTTTAATTTTTGTTATAATTTTTTTTTGTAATTAACTAAAAGGTATTCACTAATGGTAGAAGACAACTACATCGTAATGGTTTCAAACAAAACTAGATTCCTCAAATAATTCTGCAATATAGAGAGCAAACCTAGGTTATCTCATAAGGACACAAATTCATTTTATTTCTTGTTTTTAACATGCAACAATGAGGGTTTTTTAGTTCTTAAGAATTTAAATAGAAACGTAAATTGGCAACAGAGATTGAATTACAAGAAAATGCAGTAAAACAAATTAAATTGAAATTGAATTAAATAAACGAATTAAACCTAGAAAGTGAATTAAAGGAAGAACAAAGGCAATTAAAATGAAAGCAATTAAAATAGAAACAATTAAAATGAAAACAGTTAAAACAAAAGCAATTAAAATGAAAACAATTAAAGTAGACAAAATTAAAACAAACACAAATTGAAAGAAAAAAGAACGCAAACAAAACATGAATTAGGATTGAAACTGGAAACCCCAAACACGAATTAGGATTGCGATACCAAATTTGCCTAAACCTTGAATGTAAAAGAAATTGATTAATCAATCAATCTTATACTCAAGAATGAAAATCAAATTCAATCGAATTATGCATGCACAAATCTTGATCAATAATTGCAAGAAAGCGAAAAGACAAACTCGAAGCGATCGATTGGTCTTGCAATCCGCGCTCAAGATGAGATGATTTGAGGATTCAATCATATAGTCACGAATTAGAATATGAGTAAAATCAAATTAAAAATCGCAGTGAGATCAGAAATTGAATTGTGTGCAAAATCTGAAAGAGGCAAGTAAACAACAACAAAAATGGTTTCTTTTCTCCAAATGGAAAAGTCTTACAAAAACAAAATTATGAAAAAAAAGAAGGCGTCAAAGTCAACCTTTTGACCCATATATATACTGGTCTTAAATGAAATGGAAATAAATGGGTCAAGGCTGTCGCAAGTAATTACAATAAAAGCCCTAAATAAAAACTCTAAATATAAAAGGTATGTTTTAAGTCTGAACTTCAAAAATTAATAAAAAGTAGCTCTAAACTCCAAATAGCATGATCCATATGTCCAAATTGAAGCCCAGGAAGTCAGGAATCCATTGCAAAAAGAATCAGCCAAAAAAGTAATTTACAAAAAAAAATTTATGGCCAAAATAGTAGACAAAGTTCAAAATAGAGAAAAATATGAAATATAAAATAAACATAATAAGTATTTATAAAAACTCTAATTTAATGCATAAAATGCAAAAACATGCTAAATGAAAGAAATAAAGAAAGAAAAGGTATTTGAAAGATGCAATAAGACTATAAATATGAGTACAAAATATAAGTCATCAAATACTCCCACACTTAAGCTTTTGCATTCCCAAACAAAAGACAACAAAACAAAACAAAACAAACCAAAATTTTTCAGTGGATCCTATAGTGAATGTGAGCAAGAAAGAAAATGAATTCATCAATCAAAGTATAAAAGAATAAAAGACAATCAAGAATTATGTTCCAAATATAAAAGTAAAGAAGAACTTCAATCTAATTAAATCATAGATCACAATTAGCAAAAATTCGCTCAAGGATATGTTTATTACTCATTCTCTCAAGTGTGTAGTTTAGCATTTTCACTCGAAGAACATCATGAAAGTAAATACAACCATAAGCTTCAAGAGCCTCTAATTTCTACTATTTGAAACACATCAATCAAAAGATCAATAGGGCTTTTATTAGGCTTGTAATGTGGCTAGGGAAAGGTGAGATAAAAGGAGGCATACAAAGCTAAAAACCAAGAGAAAGAAGAGCAATGGGGAATGAGTTAAAACAAGTAAAAAGATACCTAAAATTCAATAATTAAAATTTTGTTTTGTTTCTTTTTTTTTCATTTTTTTATTTTATTTTTATATACAACTTTTTCTTTCAAGCTACTTTTCCAGTGAATTGATAATGCATCAAAATTTTCTCAAATAAGGCACAATTTAACACAATACTCCCACACTTATTTTTAACTAACTCCCAAAACAATTCCAAAGCTCATCTAATCTCCAAGGTTAGGTGAATCATCAAGAAAGGGTTAACAAGGCTCATAGGGGTAAACAAGTGGAATAAATGCAAGATGAGTCAATTTGGCTAATTAGCTAAAATGTTAAAGGAGACCTAAATCATATCAAAAGTGCATGTAAACAAATAATCTCAAAAAAAGTCAAGTTATAGAATACCTACGAACATGAGTGAATCACTCTCAAATCTTACTAAGGTAATTATTCTACCAATCATTAATCCAAAATCTAATTATCATAAAAAAACTAGCTAAACTCAAATGCAAGAATCAAATCTATCATATTATGAAAATCTCAACTAAGAATGACAAATAAAAAGTTGCTCACACAAATGAAATCTAAAAGCAAAGGAATCCAATGAAAAATATGCTAGGGAAGACTCTATACTAACTAAAACAAGAATTCTAAGTCAATTCAAACAAAAGTGTAGACTAACACACTCCCCCCACACTTGAACCAAACATTGTCTGCAATGTGGGAATGGATAGAAAATGACAAACACATGAAAACAGTTCAAATAAAGTGAAAAGACATGCATAGAAAACTAAAGGAAAGTATAATGAAAAGAAATAAAATAAGAGAAAAGAATGCTCCAAGTGCCTATGTAGACACTTCCTCCATTAGAATTGGCTCCACTAAGGATACGTCAACTGTGTTTTGAGCCTTCTGCATAGGTTTGCTTTCTTGAAATAGTTTCAGCTGTTGACCATTAACTTTGAAAACTCTGCCAGTAACTTCATCCTTAATTTCAACTGCACCATGGGGAAAAACATTAGTAATCACAAAAGGTCCATCCCATCTAGATCGAAGCTTACCTGCAATCAGTTTCAAATGAGAGTTAAACAATAACACTTTCTGTCCTTTAGAGAACTCCCTCCTCAGAATTTTTATGTAATGGAATTTTCTGACTTTCTCTTTATACCTTCTAGAGTTCTCATAGGCTTGTAAGTGTATCTCATCAAACTCCTGAAGTTGAAGCTTCCTTTCTTTTCTAGCCTCCTCAAGTGTCAAGTTATAACTCTTCACTGCCTAATACAATTTGTGCTCAATTTCCACTGGAAGGTGGCACGCTTTGCCAAACACTACTTGAAATGGGGACATGCCTAGTGGTACTCGGTAAGCTATTCTCTGAGCCCAAATAGCGTTAGTTTGAGGATGATATAGTGTAGCAATTCTGTGTGTCACCTTATACTTCTGGAATAACGTTGCTATGGTCCTGTTACAGAAAGGGCTTCCCTGATCACTTGTGACAGTCTTAGGCACACCAAACCTACAAAATATGTTAGTCCAGAGAAAATCTGAAACAACCTTAGAATCGTTAGTTTTGGTGACCTGTGCCTTCACCCATCTAGACACATAATCAACAAGTAAAATGTAAGAATATCCAGAAGAAACAGGAAAAGGACTCATAAAATGCATGCCTTAAACATAAAATATCTCACAAAAGATGATAGGTTGTTGAGGCATCTCATTTCTCCGGGTGATGGTCCCTCCTGCTTTCTAACATATCTCACAGCTCTCGAAAAACCTGACTGCTTCCCTAAAGATGATGGGCCAATAAAATCCGCTGTCCAATACCCTCCTAGTTGTTCTCTGTGGTCCAAGATGGCCTCCTATAGATGTGTTATGACAAAAATGCAGAATATCCTAAAACTCATGGTCAGGAACACACCTATGGATAACCTGGTCATTACAAAATTTTCATAGATATGGATCATCTCAAACATAATATTTAGCATCACTTTTAAGCTTATCAACCTGAGATCTAGATGCATGAGGAGGTACAACAGAAGTAACCAAATAATTAACAATATCTACAAACCAAGGTACAGAATCTACAGAGTACAAAGCAAACAGATAATCATCAAGAAAATAATTACTAATGGGTAAGGGATTTACTGTCCCTTCAATACAGCTAAGGTGATCAGCAACTTGGTTCAACACACCACTTCTATCTTTTATATCAATATCAAACTCCTGTAGAAGAAGCATCCATCTGAGTAATCTGGGTTTAGCAACTAGCTTCTTCTGTAGGAATTCAATGCAGCGTGATTTGTAAAGACAGTTTTTGAGCTAAGCAAATAGGAATGAAATTTATCTAATACGAACATAATAGCCAAAAGCTCCTTTTTAGTGGTGGTATAATTTACCTAAGCTATATCAAGAGTTCTAGAGGCATAAGTTATGACATGTGAAAATTTACCTACTCTCTGTGATAATACAGCTCCAAGTGCATAATCTGAGGCATCACATATTAACTTGAAAGGGAGCTCCCAATTTGGTGGTTGCATGATGAGTGATGTGGTGAGTCTCCTCTTCAACTCCTTAAATGCCTCCTTGCATGAATCAATAAATATGAATGACACATCCTTCTGCAGAAGACTGGACAATGGTAGGGCAATCTTGCTGAAATCTCTGATGAATCTCCTGTAAAAACCTGCATGTCTAAGAAAAGAAAGCACCTCCCACATAGACGCGGGGTAAGATAGAGATAATAACATCAATTTTAGCTTTATCAACTTGTATTCCTTTCTTAGAAACAAGATGTCCTAAGACTACACCCTCTGTTACCATAAAATAATATTTTTCATAATTAAGCACAAGGTTATTCTCAATACATCTGTCTAAAACTCTGGTCAAACTATTCAAGCATGAATCAAATGAGGAACCATAAACTTTAAAATCATCCATAAATATCTCCATGCAATTTTCAATCAAATCAGAAAACATACTCAACATACACCACTGAAAAGTAGCAGGTACTTTGCGTAAACCAAATGGCATTATTTTATATGTAAAAGTGTCAAAAGGGCAGGTGAATGTGGTTTCGTGTTGGTCCTCAAGGGCAATGTGTATTTTCATGTAACCAGAAAAGCCATCTAGAAAATAGTAGTGAGACTTACCTGTCAACCTCTCGATGACTTAATCAATGAATGAGTGAGGGAAGTGGTCCTTCCTGGCAGCCTGGTTGAGTCACCTATAATTAATGCATACTCTTTATTTGTTGCCAACTCTGGTGGGAACCAAATCATTCTCCTGGTTCTGCACAACAGTTATCTCAGACTTCTTACGCACCACTTGTACAGGTGAGACCCATGTGCTATCTGAAATAGGATAAATGATTCCAGCCATCAGTAGCTTGGTCAGTTCCTTCTTCACTACATCAAGAATGGTGGGATTGAGTCTTCTTTATGGCTGTCTCACAGAATCCTGTGCATGCATATAGCTGGACTGATTTCAGGGATATCAGCCAAAGTCTAGCCAATGGCTTTCTTGTGCACCCTCAGAACATTCAACAGCTTCTCTTCTTGGTCCTCACAAAGGCTACTAGAAATGATTACTAGAAGCCTCAGCTTTGTATCCAAATAAGCATACTTAAGGTGGTCTGGCAAAGGATTCAGCTCCAGTGATGGTTGCTATTGTGTGGATGATAAAGGAAATTGTGATTCAACATCCATAGAAATACCAGAATTTGCACCTGCAAGTGAAGGTGCAATAGAAGATATAGCAGTATCAATCTCAGCACAGATGTCATACACTCCATTATCACAGGTGTAGCTTGGTAGAGCATCAATATCTAAATCTGAAAACTATAAAAATTGTGAAAAATCAAAGTCTATATCTACATCTATATATACTCCTACATCTACTTCTGTACACACATCAATATTTTTATTATTTTTTGCAACATCAATCAGAAAAATAGAATGATCATAAAGCATAAAATGACCTTCAACTGGGTGTTTCATGGCTTCAAAAATGTTGAAGTGAATTGTGCCATATCTACATTCCATGGACAATGTGCCTATATGAACGTCAATCTTGGTCCTTGCAGTCATTAAAAATGGCCTCCCTAGAATCAATGTAGAATTCCCATCCTGCATATCAAGAAAATAGAAGTTAGCTAGAAAAATTAATTGGTTGACTTTTACCAACACATCTTCAACTACTGCCAAAAGTTGAGCTGTACTACATTTTTCCAATTGGATGATCACATTGGTTGGCTTCAAGTCTCCCAAATGCAGCATTTTATACACAGCTGATGGCATGACGTTGATGGAAGCTCCCAAGTCCAACATAGTAAAGGTTGTTTCTCTAATTGTGCAGGGTATGGAGAGTGTGCCTGGATCATCATATTTCTGTGGAAGCTTGGACAGAGACAGGGATGAGATTGTTTAGATGTCCCTCTTCTTCAAATTCCTCTTGTATGTACATAGCTCCTTCAGAAATTTTGCATACTTAGGAATCTATTTAATGGCATCTAACATCAGTATATTTATCTCCACCTTTTTGAAAGTATCCAGCAGCTTTTGATCAGACTGCACTCTCTTTGATGTAGAAGCTATGGATGGAAATGGAAGAGGGATCTGCTACTGTGTAGACTTCTTTATGACATTTCCACTGGACTGGGCTGGTTTGGCCTGCAATGGACTGTTATCCAACTCTTTGCCACTTCTCAAAGTGATAGCACTCACGTTACCTTTAGGATTCACCACAGGTTGAGAAGGTAATGTTCCAAACCCTTTCTACTGGAGATTGTTTACTGAGGTAGCTAGTTTCCCAATCTAGGTTTGCAAATCTTGAATAGTGACTGAAACATTCTATTGGAATTGCAGCCTTTAAGTAGCCATTTGGTTCATCAGTTCATCTAGAGAAGGGACAAAATTAGGTTGCAAAGGTGGCTGTTGTGGAGCTTGTTGTTTGAGAGGAGAGGGCAAGTATTTTGACTATTGTTGTTGTTGTTACTGTACTGGTTGGTGTATTGTCTAGTGGTGGGCGGGATGCTGCACAGGTTGTGGCTGTTGATATTGATAATTATACCTCTGGTGATGTTGTGTTGGGCCTAGACCATATCACAATTTAGGATGATTCCTCTACCCTGGGTTGTATGTAGGTGAAAATGCATTGTACTGTTGCTGCTGGTATAAAGGGTGTATACTTGCTACAACATGAGAAGGTGCACTGGATGTCTCTTGCAGTAAAGGACAAGCATCCGTGTAATGATCACCTGAGAATATATCACATGTTTATGGAGTCTGTGCCACTGCCTATCTCATAGCAAGCTGCCTCACCAATGAAGTTAACTCCGTAAGTACACTCCTATAACTGAACAACTGTGAATTCTCTACCATGTTAGAGATTAAATACCTTGTAGCTGCAGGAGTCTTGTCCATCAAAGCTCCTCCACTGGTCGCATCAATCATGCTTCTCTCCATAAGAAGTAGACCTTCATAAAAATATTGGATCTGCAGCTGCTTATTGATTTAGTGATTTGGACAAATTGCACAAAGCCTGTTAAACCTCTCCCAATAGATATATAAATAATTATTTTTAATGAATTTTACATATATATATAAATATAGATAGATTGTTTATTAAAAATTTGTAAAAAAAAATAAAAAATATATAGTTGTTAATATATATTTAAAATTCAATAATCAGTATACATTTATATAAATTAAAAAATAAATTATTAGTTAATTTATCAATTTATATGTAACATATTAGCATGTGCTTTAATTTATCATATAGGTAATATTTTTCTACATTTCATTAATACTATAGTGTAGTTAATTTTATGTATATTTGTTGGTTTAAAATAATAAATTATTGAAGCAAATAAAATTAAATATTTTATAACCATTTTATTTTTTGATTTAATTATTATTTTTATTTTTACTTTATATAGATAACAGCAGAATCTTCTCATACTAGTGTAAGTCTAAAACTTCTTACACTATATTTAAACTTTTCATTTAACTTGCATATAATGGATTGTAATTTATTACTTCACTAACCGTTAGATATAAGTTAAATGAAAAGCTCAAATCGAATGTTATATTAGTGTGAGAAGATCTTTCTTTTTCTCTCTCTCTCTCTCTCTCTCTCTCTCTCTATATATATATATATATATATATATAGCATTAAGTTTAAAATTTTATATTAAGTTTTATCACAAATTTCCTATTAAAATAAAAATTTAGAAATATAAGTTATTTTAATTTAAAAATAAATTCTATTAAATTAAGATTAGCCAAAAGTTAAATTTCTAAATATTTATTAATTTTTACTTTGTTCACATGTTACTTTTCTACATCCATGAATTTTATAATCTAAAATATTATATATCGATGATATTTATTTACTTTTTTTAATATATTAACTTTAATTTAGCTAACTCAACAAATTTTATTAGTGTTATTTTTTATTATCAATTTTATGTGTTTATTGTAACTTTATTTATTGAACATAAGATGTCTCTACACAAATAAAATATGATAATAAAAAAACTAAAATTTTTAATATTTTTAATAATTTTGTAAAAATAAATCAAGAAAATAATAATATAAAATTTATAATGTAAAAAATTTCATAGTTAATACGCAAATAATATTTTAAAAGTTATTTATAAAATTATATAAAAATAGTTATAATTTATTTAATAATTATTAATAATACAAATAAAAATTAGAGAAATATGTTAAGTAATTTGATGATAAATAATTATATTTTCATTGATATTATTTAATAACGACAACGATTATAAATATTTAATATTATACAAATTTTATTCTTCTTTATTTATTTTTAAGCAATTTTATTGGCATACAAGTTTATAATAGAAAATTTTATATGAAATAAATATTTTTAATATATACTCTAATAATTATTATAATCTATATAAAATTCTCTCAAATTTAAATTCTTAATTTTTTTAATTTTTTTTTCTTTTGCTCTTAAGGCCATGATCCTAACCCTGACCCTTTGAACTCGTTATCTCATAGGACAACCGTACTTCAAGTAGGCGACGATATTGCTTGTATTTATGGTCTTGATGAAGTAATGGCAGGTAAATTAGTGGAATTTGAAGAGGGTACTATAGGCATTGCTTTGAATTTAGAATAAAAAATTGTTGCTGTTGTATTAATAGATGATGGTTTGATGATATAAGAGGGAACTTTGGTAAAAGCAACAGGAAGAATTGCTCAGATACCAGTAAGTGAGGCTTATTTGGGTCATGTTATAAATGCCTTGACTAAACCTATTGACGGTCGAGGAGAAATTTCAGCTTCGAAATCTCAATTAATCGAATCTCCCGCTCCCGGTATTATTTCGATGTTCTGTATATGAGCCTCTTCAAACAGGACTTATTGCTATTGATTCGATGATCCCCATAGGTCATGGCCAACGTGAATTAATTATTGGAGATAGACAAACAGGTAAAACAACAGTAGCTAAAGATATAATTCTCAATCAATAGGGACAAAATGTAATATGTGTTTATGTAGCTATTGGTCAAAAAGCATCTTCTGTGGCTAAGTAGCTTTTTGACAACTCTATCCATAGTGCCTGTAGCGGGTTATGTCATGTACGATGTTGGATAAAAATATAAGAAATTTACACTAGTATAAAAAAAGTCGTTTATATTGGTTAAAAATAACTTCTAACGTCGGTTGGTGAATCGATGTAG